TCATTATTACGGAAGCGATCGGAAGTCTCGGAGCGACAGTTGTTTTGGTTAAAAGTGGCCAAAAGTCCGTCAAAATAAGTAATGTCTACGGCTTGGGTGCGGGCGCTGTGGCCAACATTAATGGCGGCAAAAATGGCCGCAAGAATGTGGACGAAAAACAAGAAGTGAAGACAATAACTAAACCCTTATATGAGAAATGTATACAAAACTCAATTAATATTTTAAAACTTTTTTGTTAATAATTTTATATTCAATCAGACATGAAATCCTTGGATTCAAAGGACTCTTCGGCCGGTCTATTGGTTTTAGCCGAAGGCGGAAACGCTGGGGAGGCTGTGATCGCCACCCGTGAGGGTTGGCTCGATGTTAAGGGCGCCTCCGGTTTCAGACTGGGATCTTATACTGAAATCTCTACTCGCGGTTAAATTATTGAATAATTATCACATATTTTTTACTACAAATAATAGCCACTAATTATTTTTAAAAATTTAATTATATATAAAAATATCATAATTTAAATTATTTAATAAAAATATTAATTCAAAACTTAAACAAATAATTTATTATAAGTTTTACAATATTTACATTACATTATTTCAAAAATATTAAACAATTTATTAATTATTCTGGTCTCCCATACTGTATGTTAACATTAAATTTTATTATTACAAACAATTGGTAACAAATAGAATTTCTAAATATAGTAAATATCGTGATATAAGTTATATTATATAACACAACTTTGGATTGCAATAAGTTTGTATCACTCAAATAGTTTTACATATTTAAAAACTTATAGCTATTATTTATACAATTTTTATTTTAGTTAAATTTGTTATTATTTGAAAATATCTTATTTTAAAGATAAAATATTTTTTTAATACAATGTCTGGCATTAAATGCAATGAATTATTTCCCAAAGAATTGCGAATACAATCAGCAGAGAATCAATTGTATAGAATCGGGCTATCATTACATAAACCAAGAATACCAGTAAAAAGACCTCTAATATCACATCCAATGATAATAACAACAGTTTTGTGGTCTTATATTTTGATTCAATTAATACTTGTTATAAATTCCGGTAGAAATCGTTATCTAACTATACTTTTGGGGGACTTTTCGGAAATGGTTGGAAACCTGGGATTGTATTACAAAATTGCAGCTCTTATTTGGGTTTTCTTAAATATAACGATTCAAATGATATTTTACTACAACTATTGGTGTGGTATTGAACCGACATTTCTCCGGGTGTTTGCTATGATGTCAGGTATGGTTACCCCCTATAGTGTCGGTCTAACGGATCCACAATCTGTACAACAATTATTAAAAATATCAAAAACTTTATTTTCGATAACACTATTCATAACCAAAAAAAACGGGACCAATGATAGGATTGTTGTGTATTTATTCGTATATTACAAACACTAGTATTTTGGATACTAGTTTGGAAGTATGTGGTGTTTGACATATTTTTATATCATATGTTTTTATTTAAAAATAAAAATTAATATTATTTGCGAGAGTTTGTCAGACAATAAACTAATGCATCGATCACTTTATTAATTAAATAATTTATATAAAGAGATCAATGAATATAACACTAGTTATTAAAATATTAATCTACAATATTTAAATATTTTATTAAATTAAATTTTATTGTTTATTATATTTACCGCCTTTTCTGTTAACTATTATGATAGTAAAATATTTACTTAATTAAATTATTAATGGCAATTGAACATTATTAAATTATTTAATAATTATTTTATGTTTTTGTTCATAATATTTTAATTTTCAAATTAATTAACCTATTTTAAAATATAATTATTATATAAAAACAAATGATTTCGTACTTTTGGTTTATCTCATTATCAATTAATAAGTTTATGTCAAAACTTCAGTGCATTTGGTTTATCTCCTACTTAATTATGAATTAGATTAACAAATCATTTATTATGTGATTATTTCAATACAATTTTGCAATAATTAAATGCATTTTTAGACACATGTTATTAGTTTTGGTTCATTTGGTTTAGGATTTCAACAACTCTTCAGTTTTTATCAAACTATTGATATATTTTTGTATTAAAATAATTAAAAATTAACTGAAAATGACTGATGACTAATAATAAGATTGCAATTAAAACAAAAACATATTTTTAACGTATTATCTTAAATCCAAGTGTTTATCAATTGTTAGGTAATTATCACTCATTGAAGACATCATTCAATAGTATATAAAGACATGATTTTGTTTGAGAAAAGTATAACAAAATTATTTTATAATTCAATTATAATAATAATTATAATTAAATATAAACTGCA